ATGCCTGGGTGAGCCTTCCAAGGGGCTGTGGGGCAGGAGCACACGGTCACTGGCTGTACAGAGCAACACCTACATGTGGGTACAGCTATAAAACATCAGCTGCTGATCCTTTCAGGTGCTACAGCCACTACTGTAGTTTTAATACTTGCATTGTTTCATCCTCAACAGCTCCCCTGGTGAAGACATAAAGCAGTTCCCACTAGTATTTAAAGGGAATTAAATGGAAATATTTCTATTTTCGCTGTATGAATTTCTACCCCGAGGTTAATTTTGCTGGGGGATTTTTTTACCCTGGGGCATAAGAGGGTGAAAGGAGTGATAGTTTAACAAAAGACAGCAAGCTGAAAACTATGTGCACTATGTATAGCTATGTGAAATCAAACCCTTTAACAACCTTTCTTTCAAAACATTCAGCAATCAAAACAGGTAATGCTGTTTTTGATGACACCTGCTCTCTTCACAAAGCCTGAAATTCTACAAAAGCAAGAAGATGCCGTTTCTACTAGACAAAATGCACTTTTATTTCAAATATTAAAAAAAAATCAGTAATACTCTTTCATATAAACTATACAGACTATCAAAACTCAGCTAGCTCTGAAACTGAGCCCTTTAATTCAGTTCAGAAAACTTTGAGCCCAAATTTTTCATTAGGTCAAATAAGTAAATTTCTCTTGAAGTCAGTTACACTGGTCCTGTCAGCTTGGAGAATCCCAGCTTTGTGATCACAGAAATGTTTAGTTTTTCAAGGGGACAGGGCAGATTGAATAGAGATTCCAGGATGTGGCCCTACCTACATATTACTGTGTATATTACAGTTTTGGCACTGAAGGTCCAGCTTAGAGGCTGCAGAGCTGTCAGTGACCAAACATGATGGACCACCCATCGGCCTTTTATTAACCAGCACTTGTTCCCCCCTCTAATCCTATCACCAGAGTAATCAAAGCTGCCATGTCCCAGGGTCTGATGGAACAGCAGGACCTGGGAAATGAAGACTGATTTTGTTAACAAAGTCATTCCTGCCCCATGAATGCTGCCTCATTGGTAGAAAGCGGGGAGATGAGGTTTATTTGTGCAGAGAATGAGGCGGCAAAGAAATGAAAGGGGGAGAATGGTGAAGTGTGAAGTTTAATCTGGCACAGTCTGAGGTTTCTTTCTTTGAGGCCGTCTCTGATCCAATCAACACTGGTTTGATATTTAACATCTCCCCCTGCAGTTGGAAATGATACCAGCCGGAGGAGACCAGAGTCAGGGCTTCCCAAACAGCCAAAGGGGAGAGAAGGGAGTGCTGGCAGCTCCTCTCCAGCCTGACAGCTTCCCCACCAACAGGCTGGCAGGAAGCTGGACCCTGATACAAAATTTCCCCTACTAACCGTGGGATTTAGGGCATCTGTCATGAGCTGAATGCAGACTGTCCCTGAGGAGAGCAAGTTTGGGATGGGAAAGGGATTTTAGTTCTAGTGGGGAGGAAGAGCTATGAACACCGTCTGGGACAGCAGATCCTGCTGAGGAACAGGATCAAACACAAGCAAGAGATGCCACCCACCTCCCCAGGGAATGGCAGTGTGGGTACAAAAGTAAGACCTACCCCTTGCTGACTGTACAGATCTTCAGTGGGGACACACTGCCATCACTCCAGGGTGATGGGGGTCCCATAGCAACCCTGGGCCATCAGGGAAGATGCACCAGACCTGAGCAGCTGCATCACAATTCTCCTTACTCCAACAACAGCCTGGGAAAGCTTCCCATCACAGGCTCACATGAGGGTCCCAAAGAGGAGAGAGAGAGCTTAGCCCTATTCCCAGCTGGCCCACAAAAAACACAGGGATGAGTCCTGCAGTGGCTGCAGTGCCTCTGCCAGGTTTCCACAAGAAGGCCTGGAATGTCATCTGCCCCTCACCAGGTCTCAGCCCTGGCCAACTTGATTTTGCCCTTTTCTGGCCACTCTCTACACAAACATCACTGCTGTCAGACAGACTTGTCTGCTTCCTCTTCTTCACTTGCCTCAGCTCTTCCTGTCCCACCTTCCATGAAAACCCTGAAACTTCAAATACTAAGGAGCAATACAATTTCAACCTGATGCAAACCTGCTACGAACTCCCCTGCACCCAGGCTCCCAACACTGCCTTCTGCTGCGATTCAGACACCTTGACACCAGCTCAGCCACACCCAGGGCCCGGACTTCGAGTGACCAGCAGCTGCCAGAATCCCAGGAGGTGGGATAACACTTCCTCCCAGGATCCAAGCAGGAGAGGGGCCGGTCAGCAGGAGGCAGAAGGCAGGGACTGATGTGGAAAAGCAGCAGGAAACACTGTGCAAGGGTTTCAGGGGGAGCAGAGCATCAAACTACAAAGTTTCAGGGTTTACAATAGAAAACAATGCTCCCTGCCCTACCTGCAGGAGCTGGCTCTCCAGGAAGCAGCTAATTATATGAGCCACCTTAATCTTTTTATCCGGCTAAGACAATCAACATTTCAAAGCCACGCACAGAACGTTTCAAAGATCGTTCCTGGTCAAAAATGCAAGTGTATCCACTTTCTTTCAGAGCAGATCAAAACCAAGTACCACACCGGGACCACTCCTAGATTTCCTCCTCCTCACAGTATCAGATTAACAGATTTGGTGTATGTAGTCAGATTAAATATTTGCAGTAGCACAAAGCTGCCTTTGAGGAGAAGAAGTAGGGGGAAAAAGCTTTTTTTGTCTTTTTCTTTTTAATTTGCTTAGGGCAAAAATACTGGACTTTGGGGATGTGGGAAACAAAAGCATTGACATGATTCAGCAAGGCACAGTCCTAAAACCTGAATTCTGAATGCAGAAATAACGTGCAGTGTTCCTGTAGCAGTAATGCTGAAAACAGGTAAAAAACCGCTGATGCCCTTAGCAGATTTGGGACTATAATTTATCACAGATGTTCTCATCAAACTGTGCAAACACCCTGCGAGACAAAAGCTGCTCAATTTCTGATTTCCATTTTAGTGGGTTTTAATTACGTGTTGCTTAAGGAAGGCTTCAAGACCTGGAATTGGGAGGTAAAACCTTGCAATAGTAATCCACTCCACTAAATTAGCACAGTAATACACCAAGCAGTAGGACTGCCAGACGGTGTGATAACATTACAAATTACTATTGTTAAACAACTAGCCAGGTGTCAGGATGCATGGAAATCTAGAGGAAGCAAGAAAATAAATATCTGGTTTGTTTTGTTTAATTTTGTCTCCTGTTGTTCTGGTGGCCTTGTTCCCAGAAAAAGCTTCAATCTAGGAAAATTCCTCCTGAACACTGATCTATTTCAGCAACTTTGTCAGTTCTCTCTAACAATTAAAATGGAATGTATTCTTTTAATCAGCACAAATGTTTTGCATAAATGACTGTCCTTTGCTTGCCAATAGCAGTAATACCTTTACTGTTCTTTTTTAGATTATTTTTGGAGCAAAATGAATGGGAAATTTTTGTTTCTATTTAAAAGTTGGACAGAGAAACAATTATGGTTAAGGGCAGCAGTGAGTTTTGTACCCTGTCCCTTTTCCTTTCTCTGCTGCTGACTCTCTCTGAAAAGAAAAAAAATGTATGATTCACATTTAAAAGGCTTCCAAGTGGTACATTTTTAACCAGACGTTTTCATGTGCTTGATTCTAACTGCCATTTATGATCTAATACAACCAAACACTATAGGATGTCTAGAATAGTTAATTATTTTTACTTCACCTTAAAGAAGGAGCTGAACAGAGAGGATAGGCACTTAAACCTTTCAGATAGAATAGTGTAAAACGAATTCCTTTATTTCTATGTGTGTTAAACAATGCAAAGGTCCTGAGAGGCTTTCTTTTAATTATTTTTGTTGATAAACAAGAAAATACATTCAAAAGTGTATGGAACAAATCTTCTCTGAAGGCTGTATGCAGAGTTAATGCTCCTGGCTGAAATATCGGATGAACCAAATGTTAGTGAAAGCCAGACTTTTCCCCTTCAAATAGCTCCTACTGGACTTCAGGGGAGCAGGGGGTGAAGGCACTCTAAGGACATTTTAATCACACCTAAGATTAGTCCTTTAATCCTTATTCCCCCACATTACCAAGAGTTTTTTTGGTCAAAGTAGGACAGTGAGACAAGGCTGGAAATAGACCAGTCCAAAACTAATGACGAAAAGCAGGTTAAAAATGAAATATCATAGCAGTAACTGAGACCATCTTAAATCTCCCCCGGATTATTTGTTTTCTTCCACACACATTCATTTCCTCAATTTCTAGTAAATCTCATTTCACATAAACAGTTCTGCAAGGCAAAGTCAATAGCTGTTACTGTGTTCCTCATTAATCCACTGAAATGAAATAGATTTCATGGCTTAGTATTTGGCTGTTTAAAGCTAAAGCCATTGAAAGAATCCCGGACTCCAGTTACACCAATAACTTTTGTTTCTTAACCTACATCCTTTTCTGTTTGCTGAAATTTACCTGCTCTAAAGTGAAATAAACCCATGTATATTGCACACTTAATTTCCCCCAGTACAAGGGCAACATGAGCCACTTTGTTTTGACCACTAAAAAGACAACTGACAGTTTGCATGTACTTAAATCAATCTGAACAATGTGGAAATTTCTATTTTCATTGTTCATGCTTCATCCTCTTCCTGACAAGTACCACAGAGCTGCTTTACTTCAAAACAAACAAACAAAAAAAATCACTTTTTACCCAGCTCCGGGACAGGATGGGAAGCATGTAAGTTTCCCTCACAAGTGGCAGGCAAGCAGACACACACATTCACACCCTCAAATAAATTATACACGTGATACACACGCACTCGCCACGCACATCACGGGGTTTGTGCAGGCAGCACGGATTGGCATGATGGAGAATAGGCAGCCCAACACAAAAGCTGCTGAGGCCCACGAGTGACCACCCGGCTGCAGAAGCTTGGGGTTCGCCCCCATCAGCTGATGGAAGTGCAAGGGGAATACCCCCCACATCCTGGGATAAGACATGAGGCCCAGAAGCCTCCTTACCTGGGAGAAGTTGAGCCCATTCAGGGGGTGACACTGCTCCTCCACCCGCTCCACCGCACCCGTCTTCTTCTTCATCCTCTCGGCCTCCTGGGCGAGGTAGAGATCGAGCACTGGCACTCCTCTGGAGCGGATGTCCGTCTCCGTCAAGGAGTTCACCATGAGCATCACCCAGACGGGCCTCTTGCGCTCCCAGTTCCCGGCGATGGCGTTGAAGAGGTAGTCGGCATAGAGCCCTTTGCCCCGCTGGTCCGGGGTCATCCAGTGGGGCAGCATCAGCTTGATGTAGTCCAGGTGGCGCTTGAGGCGGCGGTACAGCTCCCGGGGCAGCACGTCCTGCAGGTTCTCCCCGTGGGGCAGCATCTGGCAGCTGGCCAGCCCCGAGATGGTGTAGGGGTCCGTGAGGTCCAGCTCGAAGTAGACGCTGGAGCTGGCGTGGAAGGCGGCCTTGGAGTTGTCAGGGATGAAGTCCCAAACTCGCGTGTAGGGCACGTGGATGGTGCCGAAGAGATAAGCGGGGGGGTCACGGCGAATGGTCCAGAGGAAGGAGTTGAGCTCTCCTTGCTGCGGGGAAGACAAGAGGGGCTGGTCAGTGATGGAGGGGCACAAAGGAAGGAGAGACAGTGATGCCACCCTCAGGGCTGCCCGCAGGGCAGGAGGAGCGGGCTTCCTGCTTCCCCATCTCCTCGCACCAGCCCCACGCGGGCTCGCAGCGAGCAAAGCCCACGGGCACCATGAGGCCCGCGTGGGGCTGGGTCCCGCCGTGAGCGGGGCAGGTCGCACTGCCCCGTGTCCATCTGCTCCCGCCGGGCCGCGGCGTCGGGCAGGAACCCCCCGAAGACGAAGCAGATCAGCGTCAGGTTGAGTTGCATCCCGCTTCCTCTCGATCTCCTCTCTCTCCTTCCCAGATGAGCCTTTTTGGATTTCTAGGATCTTTTTTTTTTTTCCTCCCCCCTCCTCCTGCTCTTCCCCCTTTTTTTTTTAGCCTTTTTTTTTTTTTTTATTCAAACAAACTTTGCCAGTCCCATCTGCATCTGACAAGTGCAGGGGGAAGGACTGGCTGCCCCCTCCCTCCCATGCTCTCCCCCCTCCCGCCCTTTCCCACCCCCACCCCCTCTGGCTCCGGGCTTGTCAGAGGGCGGCCGCCGCCAGGGGGCGATGGCGCCCCAGCGGCTGAGGGGCGGCGGCGCTTCCCCGGCGCCCGCCCGTCCCGCGGCACCTGCGCGGCGCGTCCCTCGCGTTAAACGCCAACAACGCGAAACCGAGAAGTGCCGACGTCCCCAAAGTCAATCAGTTGTCAGAGTCAGTCCGACGGGGCTTGTCACGGGCAGGAACCGAGGGCAGCCGGCTCCCCGGGGCGCCCCCGCTCAGCCCTCGCCGGCTGCGCTGACCCGCGCGGTCAGGACGTGTCCGGCTCTCCCCGGCCCCTCCGAGCCCGGCGGGGAGGGCAGGACAAGGACGCGGCCCCTGCATGGCTCCGGCAGCGCCGTACCTCAGCTGTCCTCACCGGGACCCCTGCCTCCTGAGCTTCACAGGAGGATGGAAGGAAGGAAAAGCGTGTCGTTTTCAAACATGCATTAGCGATCCAGTTTCCACTTGGACCGAAAAGCCTCAGCAGCACGACCTGAGGTGATTTTGGTGACGGGAGCGCTTCCAGGATCCCTGGGCGTCTGGAGCCCTCTGTGGAGGTCGTTGCAGAAGGCGTTTGAGTTCAGCAGCTCCAACTCACAAACTTACCCTGTGTTTAAAGAGTTTCAGAGCAGAAGACAGGCTGACAGTGCCTGTCACGTCACATGCCAGAACTCCTGCCTTTCCAGAGCCGTTCCAGGGATGGGAGTCAGGGTGCATAGCCCATTCTCCCTGCAGGACACTGTCCAGCCCCAGGTATTACCCTCATCCTGCTGTGTGCAGCAAAGCCAATCTGTATCCTGGCTTGCCCATCACTTCCCTGAATGTAAACCCTATCCAAAACTGGGAAGTTCCTCACTGTATTGACAATTATCAAAACTACCAAAATTTACATGATGAAACCCAGTCATTACTATTATGATGCACGGAGCCAGCAGAGTTTTGCCAAGGACAGTGACAGACTCAAGCCCACCTGGGTGTAATTGTGGCTTCCTGAGAGACCCGTGGAGACTGTGAGGGACACCCGGTTGCTGTAGTGACTGATGGACCAAAGCAGCCACAAAGGCTGCTGGAAGGCACTTTGGAACCACTGTGTGTGCATCCCCTGCACACTGCTCCTGGAAGGAGAGCATCCTCCTCGCCACAGTGTTGGAACCAGCAGCTCCTTTCTGAGCAATGCCACTCATCCTCTTCTCTCTCCTCCCAGATCTCCCAGACAGGTAAAAATCAGGCAGAGTAAGGGACTGGTTTTTCCTCATTGTGTTTCTAGTTCTTTAATATTTTAAATAAGTATTCAATTTTCTGGTTCCACCCTGAGAGATACGGTTCAAATAAGGGAAAAATGGAGAAGAGCAGAGAGGCAGAAGGCTTTTTAGCACAGAGGGTGTCCCATCGCTGCAGCACAGGATGTTCCAGTGAGACAACCAAGTCATGGCTGGTATTGGAGTCACCTGTGGCTCCGTGGGATATCTGTTGGGATATGGAATGGCAGTAGCTGTGTGTGTTGCTTTGTAAGCAGTGATTGCTCTTGTGCCCTCCCCACCAACTCACTTCCCTGGCATTGCTGATGTGATGGCACAATCCCACAAGGATGGGGAGGGCAGGGCCTTGCTTCATATGTCCACAGCATCTTTCTCTCTGCAGCAGCCCCACCTTTCTCCCAAGTGTGCCTCAGCACGCACTGCCAGCCTGCCCACCCCAAATGTGCTGCTGGTCACTGTAGCTGTGCCCAGACCTGAAATTAAGGTCCAGAGCAGGAAAGCTGTGCAGTCCATGTCCCAGCAGATGTCACACAACAAGGGCTAAGTAGAGTCACAGCGAACTCTCCTTGCATTCAGCAAGTGCCACGTCCAAAGTGGCATGGCTGCACTTGCCTGGCTTAATGGCTTTGACTTGATCCACCCAAATCTCTTCCAAAGTCGTGAAAGAACAGAGGGGCCTCGTCAGGAGGCTGGTAGGGACATCAGGAGTGACGTGCCCCAGAATCTCACGCCCTGGAGAAGACGCCTGGGAGGTCTGTGAGGATGTGAGGCCCTGCTCGGTGCCGGGTGCTGTGCTGTGAGGGAGGCGATTGCCCTCATCGATAGCGTACATATCAAAGCACCCAGGGCAAGAATAAACAAACATCTTTGGCACTGTGCTCGTCTTCCATGAGCCAAAAGGCAGGTGTGTGTGTGTGTGTGTGTGGATAGCAAGTTTTCCAGCCATTTCCCTGAACTCAGCCCTGATGTTGCAAGAACTGTCTAGCTGTGAAAACACGGCCTCGCCTTGATTTATGCCGCTTGTGGGTAAGATGACTAAGAAGAAGGGGGGGAAAAAAAAAAAGAACGGAACAGGAACAGAAATCCCAGTGGGAGCACGATGAGAGTGTGTACAGATTTGGTGGGACAGTCAGGTTGGGGAAACTGCAGCCAGAGCTTCAGGCCGTAGGAAGAGGAGACCACAAAACCACATGTAATGTGTCATGATGTTCCACCTAAGATACAAAAGCATGCCACAAGTTTTATGAAGGCAACTTTTTGGTAACAGTAAAGAAATTAATTCTTTTGTGAAATTGTAACTTTTTTTTTCTCCTTCAGATGAGTTCCATATGTCCTCGTGATTTTTACTTTTAAACACAGCAGTTTAGAACAAATCTTAAGTAACATTTAGCCTGCGTCTAAAGTAAATATTTACAAAAACACCAAATAATGGTGCTGATCTTTGGAAAATGTGTATTGCTCCCTACCTGCTACTGTTTTGTGCCTATCTCGACTAACAGAGAGGCTTTGTAATAAAGCCCAAGGCTGTAAAAGCAGTATAACAGTGTGATTAGAAGTAATCAGGTGGAAAATACTGACTGTTAAAAACTGTGAAGAGAAAGGAGGGCTAAGCTGCAAATGGAAGATTACGTTAGTTTGGTTTTAACAAATTTTAAAGAAAATTAATGGGAATATTGGCTTTTAATCTTACAAAAGCTGTATTATTTTTGTGGAAGCATAATAAATAATTATAGCTGTTATTTATGTCATGTATCATTTTCAAAGAACCTTACTAAATAAATATTAATCATTTCACCAACCACTTAAAGGCAACCACTTTAGGGGTGCGGTGAGGCAACAACTTACCAAGTGAGTTGTGCTTAAACAGGAAGTGAAGACAGCCAGATTCAATAGGGAGTCCGTGTGGGTATAAAAAATATTTGTGGAGGCTTTAACAATATGTTTAATGAGGTAAAACAAAACTCCATGGAATAGAGGGTAGAGTTCTTTGTTAATGAGAAGCATGCGTTGACACTTGTAATTACAGTGAGTTTCCAACAGGTAAAGAAGATTATTAGATCTGAGGGAAAACAGTTTGTGAGGGATCAGTGTTTGCATGCAGGGAAGTGTAACATTTTTTTTTAAAGAATGTGCTCCTCTCTGCTCACCTTCCTCACAGGAAAAACACCATATTGTTGGCCTGTGCTGTAGCAGTATTTCACTGTCTCCGCCTTTCATTTGAAGGCACCCGGTGGATTTCATGTGAAGGCACCCGGTGAATTTCAGTCTTTGCATTTCTTAAAACCTTCCTCCAGTAAAGAACTCCACTGGCCAATGGCTCTCCCCAAACCTCTCCTGTGTCAAACCTGGAAGAGTAAGAACTCAGCTTTTCCTTTTTCTATGAATGAAGCTGAAAGTGTCTTCTGCTCCTGCCAGAGATGGTAGATGAGATTCAGTCTTCTTGTATGCTGCAGATCACAGAACAATTTAGACTGGAAGGAACTTCTTGAGGTTTCTGGTCCAACCACTCTGAGCAGGGTTTATTTCAATGTTCGATCATGCTACTGAAGTTCAATTAAAGATGCTAATTAGATTCCTTTACTCTTATACACAGGTGGCATTCTCTGTAGCTGTCCTGGACTCAAAAAAGTATTATGCCTAAAGCAGTTGCACCGTTAGCTGTCATGCCATGACTTATTATTTGCTGTGACACCTGTGCTGTGATGTGTCTGGCAAATAGATTTTCCTGCAGAAGATTGATTTTGATGTTGTAGTCACATAAAACATCATTGCTCAGCCGTGCAATTCATGATTTGAAACATGCAGTTGTCAGATGAACAAGCCTCCATTACTTAAAGCTGTCATGCCGAAACTGCTGAATCACCACAACTCTTTCAATGTTTCACATCTTTTTTTTTTTTAATGTATGTTGCAAGCAATACAATGTAGTCACTGTAGTCGATCTTACATTTTCTTGTCTGTTTGTCCTTCTGTGTCCAATTCAGCGTCTTTTGTCTCAGTGTAGCAAAAACAACCAATCTAGTTCTTGAAGAAAATCCCCCCTCAATCCTGGCATCCTCCCTTCTAAGAAGGAGGTATGAATTTTGCAGACCAACCAGCATTAATAGCTTGTATTACATTTTGCAAAGTCTCACCTTGTGCTGTGGCCTCTGCAATGACAGACCACATCCTGCCTGAAACTAGGCGTGTAAATAGCTGAAGAAAACCTTTCCCAGTGTCAGACTCTGGAATGCATTCTCCCGCTGTATAAAGTTTAGTCTGTGCTTGTGTATGTCTATATTGTTACCTATGCACACCTCTAAGAAGGTGTATGTAGCTATGTGTGTATGTTTATATATATTAGTGCATTCATATATACACATATATATATGTATAGGTGTATATATATACACACACAAGATGATGGGATAGGTGAGTGCTATTAATGCTCCTTTATATGCTTTTCAATGCTTTTTCCCATCCTCTCAAAAATATTTTGAATTTTAGCTTATGGAGAAGGAAGAAGCCTCTCCTTCTCTGATGTCCTACCTCAAATATGATGGAGACTGTGTTTTCAAGATCTTCTGTCTGCATGTGAAGCA